AAATGCTATTGGAAAAATGGTGTCCAGAGATATATTTGATGTAGGGTTGCACAAACCTTCAGTTGGTAAAAAAAAAAAACAAAACAAAAAAAAACGCAGTACCTACAAAGTGTAATAAAGTGAAGCACAATAAAATGAGGTATGACTGTACTCTGAAAGCTGTAATCCATCTGTTGAAAGAAATCAAAGATGACACAAATGGAAAGATATTCCATGCTCCTGGATTAGAAGAATTAATATTCTTAAAATGTCCATACTACCCAAAGCAATCTACAGATTCAATGCAATGCTCATCAAAATAGCAATGACATTTTTCACACAAATAGAAAAAATAATCCCAAAATTTGTATGGAACCACAAAAGACCCTGAATAGCCAAAGCCATCCTGACAAAGAACACAGCTGGAGGCATCATGGCTCCTGATTTCAAACTAAACTACAAAGCCATACTAATCAAAATGGTAATGGTAGGGGCAGGAAAACAGAGACACATAAGTCAATGGAACGAAGAGCCCAGAAATAAACCCATGCTTATAATGGTCAATTAATGTATGACAAAGGAAGTCAAGAACATACAATGGAGAAAAAAAACCAGTCTCTTCTATAGTGTTGGGAGAACTGAAAAGCTACATGTGAAAGAATGAAACTGAACCGCAACTACCCCACATACAAATGTAACTTCAAAATGGATTAGAGATTTGAATATAAAACCTGAAACCATAATATTCCTAGAAGAAAAGATATGCACTAAGCTCTCTCTCTGTTATCAGTCTTAGTAATATACATATTTTTGGACCAGTCTCTTTAGGCAAAGGCAAAAAATACTAAAATAAACAAATGGGACTGCATTAAACTAAAAGCTTTTGCACAGCAAAGGAAACCATCAACAAAACAAAACAGGGGAGGGGCACCTGGGTGGCTCAGTTGGCAGAATATGTGACTCTTGATCTCAGGGTTGTAAGTTTGAGCCCCAAGTTGAGTATAGAGATTACTTAAAAATAAAGAATATTTAAAAAACAAAAAGGCAGGGTGCCTGGGTGGCTCAGTCGGTTGGGTGCCCAACTCTGGCTCAGGTCATGATCTTGCCGTCTCTGAGTTCGAGCCCTGCGGTGGGATCTGTACTGACAGTTCAGAGCCTGGAGCCTGCTCCGGATTCTGTGTCTCCCCCTCTCTCTGCCCCACCCCCAATTATGTTCTGTCTCTACCTCTCTCTCTCTCAAAAATAAACATCAAAACAAAACAAAACAAAACGGCAACCTAATTAATGACAAAAGATATTTTCAAATCATACATACAATAGGAGTTGTTATCAAAATATATAAGGAACTCACAGAACTTAATATCAACAACAACAACCCAATTAAAAAAAATGGACAGAAGACTTGAATAGACATTTTTCCAAAGAAGACACATGCTCAACACGGAAATGCAAATCAAAACAGTAAGGTATCATTTCACACCTATCAGATTGGCTATTATCAAGAAAAGCAAAAGAATAACAAGTGTTGGTGAGGATGTGGAGAAAAGAGAACCCTCATGCACTGCTGATGGGAAAGTAAATTAGTACAGTCACTACTGAAAACAGTACATTTTAATAATGTCTACTTTCAATAATTTCTTAGAAGACATACTCTACAATTTATTTCTCAGTAGTTTTTAAAAGTATTCATCAAATTGCATAACAATACCTACATTCTGAATTTTTAAAAGTGAAGTCAGGGTTTTTTTTTAACAAAATCTATTTGAATAGCTGTTTTGTTAGTAAGGACTGGCTTTGCAAATTAGTTTATATGGCACACATTTTAATATCTGGGCCAACAGCTCTCCTGAGTTGAAGAGATACAGGTGGAAATTCAGGGACACTAAAGCAGCTAGAGCTGGCAAGGCAGAGTACCACAGAGGAGAGAGCTGCACAGAGCAAATACCAGAGCTCTACAGAGGGTCCCCCTTGAGTATTCAGGCAATACTGTGAGGAAATTACCTAAAACTGGGGAAAGAAGTACTCCAAAAAGATGAGAGGAGATGGTGCCCGGAGCTTATACCCACCCAGGATAGTGCCTGCTCCTAACAGCCAGTTGAATGCCTCAGAATTCACAGATAACTGATCAAAGAAAGAAGGATCTTGTCCAGTAGTAGACAAATTAACCCTATATTAGACACAACTCTGGACTGCCTAACAATGCTTAAATGTAAAATGATCAAAATAAAATAAACTTAAACCACAACAAAGTTCAAGAATATTTCTAGGAATACAAAAATATTCATCACCCAATAAGATAAAACTCAAAATGGCTTACATCCAATAAAAAATTACTACACACTAAAAGAAACAAGAAAACATATTGCCAAATGAGAAAAAAAAAAAAGTCAGTTGAAACCCATAATTTGCAGAATGACAGAATGAGTAGACAAGTACATTAAAACAATTATAATTGTATTTCAAATGTTCAAGATGCTATAGAAAAGACTGAACATGTTAAGTACAGTCTTGAAAGAGATTTTTAAAAGACCCAGATCAAACTTCTAGAGGTTAAAATTACAGTGTCTGAAATTAAAATACACTGGGTAGGATTAATAGCAGATTAGACACTGCAAAGGAAAGGATTAATGAAGTTGAAAACATAGTAATAGAAACCATGCAAAATGAAAATGAAACGAGGAGAAAGAAAAAAAGACTGAGAATGAAAATAAGAGAACGTCAGTGAGCTGTGGGACAACCTTAGGCAACCAACTTTATATATAATTGGAATCCCCCAAACAAAGGGAGAGACAAAAAAGTTTGAAGAAATAATGGTTGGGATGTCTGGGTGGCTCAGTTGGTTAAGTGTCCAACTTCGGTTTAGGTCACGATTTCATGGTTGGTGAGTTCGAGTTCCCCGTTGGGGTCTGTGCGGACAGTGTCAGAAATAATGGTCAAAAACATTCCCAATTTGAGTAAAATCATACACCCACAGATCTAAGATGCTCAATGAGCCCAAACAAGAAAAATGAAGAAAACTATGTCAGGGCACATCAATATCCAATTACTTTATTTTTTTTTAATTTTTTTTAATGTTATATTTATTTCTGAGAGAAAGACAGCGTGAGCAGAGGAGGGTCAGGGAGAAAGGGAGACACAGAATCTGAAACAGGCTCTAGGCCCTGAGCTAGTTGTCAGCACAGAGCACAACACGGGGCTCGAACCCACGCACCGCAAGATCATGACCTGAGCCGAAGTTGGACGCTTAACTGACGAAGCACCCAGGAGCCCCTCAAATTGCTTTAGACCAGTGAAAAAGGAGCCAGAGAATAAAGACACATTACATACAGAGGTACAAAAAAATGACAGTTTTTGATTAGAAATAATGCAAACTAGAAGGTAAAGGACCAAAATCTTTAAAGTACTGAAAAAGAAAAACTGCCAACCTTAGACTTCTTTAGTGAGTAAAAATATCTTTCAAAAACAAAGTTGAAACATTTTTTCCAGACACACAAGGCTGAAAGAACTCATTAACAACAGATCTGACCTACAAGAAATGGTAAGACACCCTTCAAGGAGAGTAAGTGATAAGGGGGTCTACACAAAGGAGTGGTGAGCAGCAGACATGGCAGTAACTATGGAGAGGAGTATACATAATCTTCGTGGTAAAGATCAATGGAATGTTCATTTAAAAAAACATATTGCCACTGGAATACTTCTCTATTTTCTGCACCATGTAAGCATCCTTTACACAACTACATACTGCATTCTGGGATCCAGAGAAAAGGACAAAAATAGAGAGAAATATATAAATGTAAAAACGAAAAAAAAAAAAAAGATCTGGCAAAGGGTTAACAGAAAAAGATTTGGGAGAGAAGCCATTTCTCACAGGCTGATTTAATCAAAAGCATTTCATTCTAAGTCTTTTGGTATTATACTATATTTTCCTATATGCAGTACCATTCAATAAATATTTCCCTACCCTTCTCATAGCACTTAATGCTAGTGGGATCTTTTGGCCAGGGAAAAACAGTGACCACCATTCAAGGGTCCCAATGTATATCACAACGCTGTCCTAATACCAATTCCCTGAGTGAGTTAAAGAACTTTTTAAGTGTGACATCTGTCATAGAGGACAACTGAGAACACAGTCTGAGTCAGATGCCAGCCCCTGACATATTCTTAGGTACGTTCATTTACCAAATGAGTTAATTAACCAATATTTCTCTTTTTATTATCAGTTTTCGGGAGAGAAAAAATGTGATGGAAAATATATAAAAAGTGATTTGTTTTAAATAAATTATTTTAAGGTGTGCTTACAGTTAACAAAACAACACGCCAATATTCTAAATCTTACTCATCCTTAGTACTATACGGTCAATGGTCAGAAGGACATAGGATCCTAAAAAATCGGAAACTACTAAATAAAAACTACACCTAACAAAAGAAAGGATATTTATCTAAAGAAGAAAAGCAAGGTTAGTATATATTTGCTAATTAAAAGAATTTCAATAAGGACAAAATGGATTAATTTTCAATTCCACTAAAGCAGTGGTGTCCAAATTATGATTCCACAGAAGCGATTTAAGCCACAATGGGCAGTGAAGGGAGTCTGAGTCCTGAGAATTAAAACTACATTCTCATTTCAACCCAAGCTATCTACGGGGATTCCACTGGATTCATTTCAAAAGAAAGGAGGGGGATGTGGTTAGATTAGTTCATTCAAAAAAATTATTTTATTATTTTAGAAACATATTTTTAATTTACTAAGTTAATATTTTAAGTCAAAAGATGTTTTTATATAATAGTAATACATTATTCTATTGCCAAAACATTCCCATTTATAGTAAACAAATAACACGCACTTTTGTTTATAATAAAAAACAAAATGCCAAGTTAAAATATTTTTCATACCATTAAAAGTGATATTAAAAAGTCTTTGCAGATAATAATTTTATTCTTAATTTACAGTACAAGAAACATTAAACAAAGGACTTCTTGAAAAGCACTTTTGAAAATTTAACAAGAAATTATGGTCTCACCTGTACAGCACTATTAAGAAAGCAGCTGTTTTGTCCTGGTTCATTTAACAAGCCTTTGGTAGGGGCTAGGGATAGCATACTTCCAGGTTGATAAGCTTTTCCAAGATTGCCACCAGGTTTCCGTAAGAATTTTACCCATGCCATTTTCAAGAAATTCTGTTTACATTAAAGCTAAGAATTATATATTTATGTGATATTTCTGATGATAAAAGGGATGATGTCTTGAATGGTCCACTTAAATTCAATGCAGTCAATTACAATAATGTAAGTTTCCAAGTCCATATCTTTCCTGTTGCTGTAAATTTTTGACGACTTTGTCAAGCAAAAATAGGGTACACAAACATTGTAGTTCTAAAACAGAAAGCTATTTTAAACAGGGCCTTCAAGTTTTTTATGTGTTAAATTTTATGAAAGTTGTAGAGTTAAGGTAAAAAAAAAAAACTTTTTAAACTGCTAAAAGCAATGTTGAAGAACAAGGAATTTTCTTTAAAGAACAAGCCATTTGTCTTGATGACTTAAAAAGCAGATGATACAAAAAGATGTTGAGTTCGCATTTGGCAAGATTCCTTTGGTCATTTGTTTTCCTTATGTTTTTTTTTTAATAAGAAAGAAGGCTCTCTTTCCCAGGTGAAGTTATCAAAGGTGACTCCATATTTCTTAACAATGTGACCTCAAAGCAAATCTACAAGAAAGAAAATAAATGTTTAAATAAAAGTAAAGGCTAATCAAGAAAACTGCTTCTTTACTATCTGAACACAAATACTAAATATATAATCAAAGGGAATTATAACTAATAATGTTCTAAAACATAAAAATGAAAACATTATGCTTCATTAAAAATTTTTAAAAATACTGATGCGACATCAATCACAACCTACTTGAACATTTCAGTGGTGAGTGGTTTCATAAGGAAAATATTTTACAGGAAACTAGAATTATATTAGATCTCAGATAGTATTTTCAAAAGTACTAACTTTGTTGTCAACACTAAATTGCCGTGTTTATTAAAACCAATACATATAGAGACATTATATGCTCTTATACAGAATCATATCATTTTTCCAAGAAACCCAGGAGATTTTACACAACTTGATACGCATTAAATAACTCAGAACAAGCCTTAAATTGATAAACAAATCTTAGTGAACTAAATTTCTACATTATTCACAAATGCATGCTCCTGACTAAAAGGACTTTAGATTTAATTAAAAACAAGTATCACTGGGGTGTCTGGCTGGCTAAGTCAGAAGAGTATGCAATTCTTGATCTCAGGGTCATGAGTTCGCTCCCTAAGTTGGATGTAGAGATTAAATACATAAAATTAAAAAAAAACAAACAAACAAGTATTACTAACAAAGTTTTGTTTAATCAATTCAACTTCCTTCCTATGTTCATTCACTCAACAAACATTTACTGAGCCAGGTACTGTGCCAGGCACTGAACTAATTTAATAATGAGGAAAGGCGGACAATAATACAATGAGTAATAGGGGCGCCTGGGTGGCTTAGTCGGTTAACCATCCGACTTTCGCTTAGGTCATGATCTTGCGGTTCGTGGGTTTGAGCCCCGTGTCGGGCTCTGTGCTGACTGCCAGCTCAGAGCCTGGAGCCTGTTTCAGTCTGTGACTCCCTCTCTCTCTGACCCTCCCCTGCTCACGCTCTCTCTCTCTCTCCTAGAAATAAATAAAACATTTAAAAAAATTTTTTTTTAAAAATACAATGAGTAATAAATTGTAGCTTGTAGTAGAAGAGTTATGTGCTGAGTGCCAACAGAAAAACAATGCAAGGAAAGAGGATGGAAAATGCACATAATGTGAGACAGTTTGCACTTTTAAATAGGATAGTCGTGGAAAGTCTAATTGAGAATTATTATCTTTGCACAAATGTTTAAAGTAGGTGAAGATACCACCTGGGAGAAGACATTCGTAGCAGAGTGAATAGCATGCTAGGCATGTTGGGAAAATAGTAAGCAGCCCAATGTGGCAGAAAAAATGTGAGCAAGAGCAGAGAAGATGAAAAGGAGGGATGGGAACAGATCATGGGGGGTATTGAAAGCCCTCTGTAAGGACTTTCGCTTTAAACTCTGGGTGAAAGTCATGGAGTTTCCTTTTTCAAAGTACAAAAACCTACAACAGAATGGCATAGATCAGTTCAATACCAATGTCCAAATACCCACTAAGCAAATAACTGAGGAATAAAGAAGCATCTTATCTAAAGAATTAAAGTCAGGGCTTATTTCCAGACCCACATATTAGCTCATCACTTAGTAGCAATTCAGTCTTAGATAAATCCTTGTCCTTTCTGATTTATAGCTTCTTCATCTATAAAATGAGGATAACAATAATAGCCCCAATTAACATAGGTTAAATGTTTCAAAAATTCTAAAACACCATACTATGTTAGTTGTTTCCTTTTTAAACTCTGTGGGTTGCAACCTTCTCTAAAGTGATCTAAATGATCCCTTTATGATCATTTAAATGATCATATTAATTTAATCATTTAATTAAAAAAATAATTTATTTAATTAATTTAATTAATTTAATCATAAATGATTAAATATAACATTTAATATAAAGTAAGTTTTTAATACATGCATAATTTTATAACCAAGAGAGCTCTATATTGGTAATAAATTTGTATTTTTAATGGAAGAATCCTATTGAAATGATATTCTTTCATCCTTTACTAAGCATCAAGTTTGCATCATGAACTGTGCTAAGGTATGTGAAACAATCCCTACCTCATTAATGAGCTTACTTTGGTGAAGGACAAACAAACAGATAATTTTAAAATAACGTGGCTTCCACTCTTGTGCAAGATGTCAAACTAGTGTACGCCTGTCGTTCCCTAACCCCAGCCCAAATGTGGAGATTATACAAAAGCAATAGGTATCCAAATTAGAAACAGAAAGAAACCTAAGGACACCAAAGTAACTGGCTTCTCAAGTGGGAGGGAAACAGCAGCTAAGAAACAGAGAGGGACAAGTGTTACAGACTGGAAAAGAGCTCTCTAGTTAAGACCTTTTCCATTCTTCACATTGCTGTGGGCGGAGAATTCCCACCCCACACAATGCAATGAAACAACAAAGTTCAGCTACCACCCTAGTGCCATCTGGAGGGTAAGGGAGATTATAACATTGTAACAGCAGGAAAGCACTAGAGCACAACCAGTTTGGGAACTGGTAACAAGGGTACCTGCATGGCTCCTATGTATTCTACTCTCATGCCTACTTCACAAATAGCACAGAGTGTAGTAGGTAGGATCTGGAAAAAATCATGCCCCCCCCCCCCAAAATTTGCCCCTAGGCTGGGCAAAACAAAGTTCTCTCAGGCTGCATCACTCCAAATCAAGCCCCTCTACTCACATCCTACCTCTATTTACTGAAATCATTTGAAGAAACACAAATGAGAGCCTAATGCTTCACCCTTCTCATGTAAACATTATTGGTTTGTAACTTGGTACTCCAGAAAAAGATAACCAGACACTTGAGGAGTAGCAGCAAACTGAACATTTTATAACACAGGAAACAGAATAAATAGACCAAAGGAAATACAAATTTAAAATAAACAATATCTACCAACTGAATTTGGCAGCTTTTTTAAAAAACTACTGAAATTTTGGAAAAGAATGACCTAACTAGCAAAATGAATAGAAGCGAAAACCATATTAAGAAGCAGTAAGTTCAAGTCAAGAAATTTTCCTGCAAAGCACTGAAAAAGGAATAAAGAAGTGGAATATATAAACATTCCGAAAAAGCTAAAAGACACTGGTGAAATCTAAGTGTCAATACTATCTGAAAGAATTCCCAGAAAGAGGAAAAAAATAAACTGACTAAGCACTTTTAGAAATGGCTAAGATTTTTCCAGAATTAAAGACCAAAAAACTCAGAGACTAGATAACTAAAAAAAAAAAAAAAATCCACACGTGATGTGGGGAAAGAAGTAGGATGAAAATTGTGAAGCCTTAAACTAAAAAGAGAGAGAGAGAGAGATTTTCAAGCCTATTTACAGGCAAACAATAGAAATGGAGGCACCTGGGTGGCTCAGTTAAGTGTCCAATTCTTGATTTTGGCTCAGGTCATGATCCCAGGGTGGCGGGACTGAGACCTGTGTCGGGCTCTGTGCTGAGTATAGAGCCTGCTTGGGATTCTCTGTCTGTCTGTCTCTCTCTCTGCTCCTCCTGCCCAACACACAAGCTCTCTCTCTTTCTCAAAATAAACATTTAAAAAAGAAAGGAAGAAAACATAAATCTAAAAATAAACTTTTGTAAAAAACTAATAGACAAAATTTTCACAAGCTTGATTAAGGGAAAAAAGAAAAAGACACCAAGGAGACTGAAAAAATGAGAAATGACCACAGATACATAAGCAACCAAAAGAATTATAAAAGAATACCACTTAATTTTATGGCAATAACTTTTAAAATCCAAAAGAATAGGTAATTTCCTAACAAAATACAAATTAACAAAATTAGGCCAAGAAAAAGTAGAAAATATTTTCAAAACCTAGAACAATGTGGACACAAATGTTTTCCCACTGAAAATGGCATCTGGATCAGATGGATTCAAAGTTCAATTTTATCTAAAAGTTAAAGAACCGTTCATTCTAATGGTATATTATTGCAGACCACAGGAAAAATAATATACAAAGCATCCCAAATCATTTCATGAAGCTAACATAACTTTAATATCAAAACATGATAGGGACGCCAGGGTGGCTAAGTCGGTTAAGCGTCCGACTTTGGCTCAGGTCATGATCTCACAGTTCGTGGGTTCGAGCCCCGCGTCGGGCTCTGTGCTGACTGCCAGCTCGGAGCCTGGAGCCTATTTCAGAGTCTGTATCTCCCTCTCTCTCTGACCCTCCCCTGCTCACACAGTGTCTCTCTCTCTCACTCTCTCAAAAGGAAATAAAAAAATTTTTAAAAATGATAAATTTCAGACTAATTCAACTTGGATACAAAACTTATAAATAAAGCACTAGCAAACATAATCTACCAATGTGTCAAAGAATGATATACACTACTGAAAAGAATAGTCAAGGAGGGTTTATTCCAGGAATGCAAATGTGATTCTATATTATTCTTTCAATAAGAGATTATGCAGAAAAGAGCTAACAAAGCAATGTTTGTAACAGCCAAAAGGTAGAAACAACCCACGTAGTAGTTCACCAACTACTGGAAGGAATAAACAACGTATGGTATGAGTGTGTTATGTGTGTATACATATTCAAACAGCAGAATATTATTCAGACCTAAAAAGAAATGAAGTACTTCTCATACCACGGTATGGATGAACACTGAAAACATTTTGCTAAGTGAAAAAAGCCAGTAATGAAGGATCACGCATGATGTTTCATTCATACAAAATGTCCAGAACAGAGAAATCTACAGAGACAATCAGTGGTTGCTTAGACTGGAGAAATGGGGGCTATAGAGATGAGAAGGGAAGAGTAAGAGCTAAAGGATACAAAGATTCTTTTTGAGGAGATGAAAATGTTCTAAAATTGTGGTGATAAGTCGGCCTTCTTGTAAATATACTAAAAACTACTGAATTATACTCTTTCAATGAGTGAACTGTAGGATATGTGAATTTCATTTCAATAAAACTACTTAAGAAAAAAGAAAAAGACAACATAGTAGGTCAGAGATTGCTATCTCGGAAAGGCCTGCTTGCAAGATTTAGGCTT